CCACTCGTGTGACTAGGGAGATGAATGACCGCCTAGTTGCACCCGTCTCAACTATGGAAGTTAAAGAAGCAGTCTTCCGGATTGGGAGCCATCAAGCCCCAGGATCGGATGGGCTTTCAGCTGCTTTTTTCCAAGCTAATTGGGAGGTGGTGGGAGCACTAATCACAGATGCGGTTCTCAGCTTCTTCCGCACTGGCCGGCTCCTTCACAGCTTCAACCATACGCTGATTTCCTTGCTGCCGAAGGTTCTCAATGCCGACTCAATGCGCCAAATTCGACCCATAGGTTTGTGCCAGGTATTTTACAAAATCGTAGCAAAAATTTTAGCTACCAGGTTAAGTGTGATTCTTCCTGATGTGGTTAGCCCCTTTCAAAATGGCTTTGTTCGTGGTCGGTCCATTACTGACAATGTTTTAATTGGCCAAGAAGTTATGCAATTCTTGAAAACTAAAGTGCAGGGTCGCGACAAGTGGATGGCGCTTAAGCTCGATATGGAAAAAGCTTACGACCGGGTCGAATGGTCGTTTTTGTTACTGATCATGGAGCAGTTGGGGTTCTGTTATGAGTGGCGGCGCTGGATCCATGCGTGTATTTCTACGGTGTCCTTCTCAGTGTTGATCAATGGGCACCCTCATGGGTACTTCAGACCCCAGCGTGGGTTGCGACAAGGTGATCCCCTCTCGCCCCTCCTCTATGCTCTTTTCTCTGAGGCCTTCTCGGCTAAGATTTCCAGTGAGATCATGGTTTCCGCTTTACATGGTTTGCGTGTTCATCGATTTGCTCCTATGATTTCTCATTTACTTTTTGCTGATGACACCTACCTTTTCCTCCGTGCTTCTTTACCGGAATGTAATGCTTTGCTGTCTATTCTGGATGAGCTTGGCCGGATGAGCGGGCAGCGAGTGAACCTGTCCAAGTCGTCTATGTCGGTGAGCTCCAATGTTTCTGACCAGGAACGGGCAGATTTGGGAGCGTGCCTGGGGGTGGCTGACTCCCAATCGCAGGACAAGTATTTAGGGCTTCCAGTTCATATGCAGAGATCAAAGACTCAAACCTTCAGGTTTGTTGAGGAAGGGTTGGCTAACCACATCCGCTCTTGTAAATCAAAATGCATGTCTTTGGCGGCTAAAGAAACGGTGATTAAATCTATTGGTTCAGCTTCCTCTATTTATGCTATGTCGGCTTTTCGGTTGCCAGCTTTTACTTGTCGCAGGTAAAACGGTCAACTCTCGCGGTTTTGGTGGTCTGGCCAAGACAAGGAGATTGGCATGCATTGGCTCTCGTGGCAGGAGGTTTGCCTTAGCAAATTCGAAGGGGGCCTTGGCTTTCGAGACTATGATCGTTTCAACGTAGCTCTACTAGCCAAACAAGCCTGGCGGGTCCTTTCCAATCCTGAATCTACACTAGCGGAAGTGTATAGGGCCAGGTACCACCCTCACTCCTCGTTCCTGGAAGCCAGACCCGGTCCTCGGCCGTCTTGGGCTTGGCAGGGCATTTTAGCTGGACGGGATCTCCTCGTGAAGGGCCTGCGGTGGCGGATTGGTGACGGGACTACCGTTCAAGTCCTCGCAGATAAGTGGCTGCCATCTAACCCTCCTTCCTCTCCTCTGCTACTTCAGAATGTTTGGGCTTGTCCAATTTTTGTCTCTGAACTAATCTGTCCTGCCTCTCGTGCGTGGAACTTGCAGTTGCTTGGAAGTCTGTTTCAACCTTGTTCGGTAGCGCTGATCATATCCATTCCACTTGCGGTTCAGCCACAGCCGGACAAGCTAATCTGGCATTATTCTCCAAGCGGGGAATATACTGTCAAGACGGGTTACCACTTGTTGTCTAATGAGTTGCTTGCGTTACACCCTCCTTCCCCATTGCCTTATGACAGCAGGTTTTGGAAGATGCTTTGGGGCTTGCAGGTACCACCCAAGCTCAAATTTTTCTGGTGGCGGCTAGTTCGGGGCTTCCTTCCAGTATGTGCGGTACTACAAGTGAAGCGTCTGGTTACGGATGCCACATGCCCGATTTGTTCGGCAGGGGCGGAAACTTTGACCCACACCTTTCTCCAATGTCGGGTCGCAACTGATTTGTGGGAGCTGGCTGGTTTGGGGAATCTGCGCCGGAGATTGGTTAGTTTATCCTTTTCGGAGTGTTGGGTTGCTCTATTCTATTCCTGCAACTTATCTAAACCCGTTATGGCTGATGTTGTATTTCTGTGTTGGCGAGTTTGGAAATCCCGGTGTTGGGCGGTCCATAAGCACGTTCAGTACTTAGGGCCTGCCCTTCTCAGACAATTCAGGGCTCAGTCTGAGGAGTGGAGGCTTGCTACAGCGCCTTTGACACTGCGCAGGGGACTTGGTGGGGATTCGGTTGACGCTGCACAGGCTGTGCCGAGGTTGAATCGGCTACAAACTGCAGGGGAATGTCCAACGGATGGGATTTTGGTCAGGTTTGATGGCGCGTACAAGCGGGGAATCGGTGGTGGCGCTGGCTATGTAGGCTATACCCCTGAGGGGCAGGTTCTGTTCGCATTCGGGCAATTTTATCCAGGTGTGTATGATCCATTTGTATCTGAAGCTTTAGCTTTTCGTGATGCGATTAATTGGTGTTTGTTGCATGGGTTTAAGGTAGCCAATTTCTGTGGAGACTGTCAACCTTTGATTCGCAGGATTCAAGACCGGGATGTGGCGCATGGGACTTGTGGAGCGGTCTTAGACGAGATTTGTTTGGTTTCCGAGTCTTTTAATTTCTTTGTTTGTACGTTTACGCCAAGGTTGTACAACAGGGCTGCCCACTTAGTGGCTTCTTATGTCCTTTCATCGACAGCTCGATTTAGTGTCGACTGTCGCGTTTGGTTGTCTAGTGTCCTGTAATATCTATTACCTTCCCGATCTATGACAAAAAAAAAATCCATAAAACAAAGAATCACGGAGAATGCTCCAAAGCTTACGTGGAGGGTGTTATTTTCCAAAACTGCTTTAATATACTTAAGAGATAAGATATATGTAGATACTATCCGTGGAATGGAATCAAGTGTGATCTCATTGATAAAGTGTGACATTGATTATAAATTTGTGTATTAGTAATAGAGTGTAGATTAATTAGAGGTCTCAATTGGGCGGATTGGGTCAGGTTCGGATTGGGTCTAATTGGGTTGGGTTCAGTCGGGATGCCAGTTCAATCGGGTAGGTTTCAATTGGGTTGCAGGTCAATTGGGTTATGAGTCAATTAGGTCACTGGTCAATTGGGTTACGGATCGGGTTGGATTACGGGTGCATCAAATCACGGGTTTATTGGATTGCGAGTTAATTCGTGTTTGGTCAGGTCATATTATGGGTTATTCGGGTCAACCCATTGGATCATTTACTTCTTGACAGAAAATAATATTTTATAAACTATCAATATATGAATATAAATTGTAGGTAATGATACAAAATTTAAGAAAATGATAATATGATAATATTTTACATATACAAATTAAATATCCATTATGTTAGTATAAAAATTAAATATAAATAAAATAGTGTATATAAAAGTTTTATTGTTGGTTATAATTTTTTTTGTTTATGGTGAGAGATTGTAACTTCACTTATTTTATTAATTTATAAAAAAATTGAATAAGTAAAAATTTGAGAATGAAGTAAAGAAGATAGACTATATGCTTATACATCTCGAAATGAATCGTCTTAATTAAATATAGTATGAACTAGATGTGTGTCTCTTCATTTCCACGAAGAATTATTAACATCATTTCGAATCACCCACTTATATATTTTCACAAATTTTCATATATTCATGGTAGCATCTCATCCAAAAACTCATGGGTCGAACAACGGTTCGCTCAAATATGATATTATCATCTAGTTCGAATCGTCGATTTATTAATTTATAAAAAATAAATAAAATCAGTAAAAAGTTCAGAATGAAGTAAAAAGGGTAAACTATCCACTTATATATCTTGATAGAAATCATTGATTTCATTGATTTTGGGGATTTCATTGATTCACAAGGGTTAATTTTTTTAATATAGTTATGTGTGGTGGAGATACGAATTTGTGTCTAACTCTTCCTATTATCTTTAAAACTTTATCCTTTGAATTTCATAAAATAAAAAATGAATGAAAAAAATATTTCACATATTATTATTTTAAAAAATTAAATATTTAAGAAAAACCTCAATTTATACCATCAATTCAACAAATAACTTTCAATTATTATGAGCACACGAGTTCTTTCTTGGTAAATTTAAAAATATAATAATGTATACATTGAATTTGTGTACAAGCATTCGGGTCAAATGGGTTATTCGGGTTATTCGAGTTGGGTTCGGTTCGGTTACGGGTTATTTGGGTTATGAATCATTCGGGTTATAAATAGGTCGGGTTATGGGTTGGATCGGATAACGAGTTCATCGGGTTATGGGTTGATCGGATTACGGGTCAATTGGTTTCGGGTTACGGGCAGGCTTCGGGTGGTTGACTGTTTGTCAAATCGAGTTACGGACGGGTTGTGGGTTGGGTGGGTTGGGCGGGTTAGTCGGGTTGGGTTCAATTTTGACAACTCTAAGATTAATCCTCAAATAAAATTCGGAAAATCTTTGTAATCAGTGAACAAGACTAGCTTTTTGCCCGGCGTTTGGCTGGGTTTACTGTTGTCTCGGTTCATCCCTTTCCCCTTGCTTTCCTAAAAACTTTGTGACTTGATGTACCGTTTAATGTCCAATCAAATCAATATATAAATTGTTTAAGTCTCATTTTATGTTTTGTAATTATGATATCTACTATAGTGGGAAATTTTTTTATGTATATTAACTTAAATTAATATCTTTTTAAACATAATACATCACTATCCATCTCGGTCACCGGGGACAAGAGGCGGAGATGCAGGCTTTCCCTTATTGTCTTGCGGAGTCGGGGCTTCACGATATCAGTTTTCGTGGGGGGCTTTATCGAAGAACGACTTGATCGTTACACGACTAACGAGGAATGGAGATCCATGTGGCCGCAAGCACGAGTCTTACACCTTGATTTGATATGATCGGATCATCGCCCCATTATTTGCGATACGTTGGCAAGGAGGATGAAGACATTAAATGGGGATGGTCCTTCCGTTTCGAGCCTCTTTGGGCAAAACATGACGATTGTGTGGAGAAGATTAAAGAAGCTTGGGAGTCGGCCCCTGGGGATGCTATAACTAGGATCAGTTGGGTACAGACTAAGCTGGAACAATGGAGCTGCACCACTTTTCCTAACTTGTGATGCCAGAAAGCAAAAATAAAGAAAGCCTTGAAGGCTTTGGAGTGGAGAGAAAAGACGGCGCAATGTTTCACTAACTATTTTGAGAATAATTTCCTTGCAGGGGACCGACCGGCGCTGACACCAGTCTTGAACTTGGTCAATGCCCAGGTGAGTGATGAAATGAATGATGGTTTGTTGAAGCCGCTTACAAGAGAGAACTGTTCGGGGCATTAAAACAAATGGGAAAAAGAAAGGCGCCAGGAGCGGATGGAATGTTTGTGCTATTTTTGGTGAAGTATTGGCATATAATAGGCGATGAGGTCACCCAGCTGCTGTTAAGAGTGGTAGAACTTGAAGAAATGCCTCAGGACTAAACCATACTTTGTTGGTGTAATCCCGAAGGTGAAGGAACCGAAGAGGGGGAAGGACTATAGACCTATCAGCCTGTATAATGTGATGTACAAGATGCTCTAGAAGGACTTGGCTAACTGGCTGAAATCGTTGTTGGATAGGATTATCTCCCAAGAACATAGTGCTTTTGACCCAAGTCTTTTTATTGCAGATAATGTGATGACAACTTTCGAATGTTTTCATACAATGAAGTAGAAGACGAAGAACAAGATGGGGTATTTGGCGGCTAAAACTGACATGGCCAAAGCGTATGATATGGTGGAGTGGTGGTTCTTGGAAGAGATGATGGAACGGTTGGGATTTGCAAGAAGATGGATGGATCCGTATGATCATGTTGTGTGTGAAGTCGGTATCGTATGTGTGAAGATAGATCACAGACCTTCATGCCGAGCAGGGGATTACGACAGGAAGATCCCCTATCACCATATCTTTTCCTTTTGGTGGCGGAGGCCTTATCAAGTTATATGACCCTCGCAATAAACCAGAAGAAAATCCATGGGCTATCGGTGGCAAGGGGTACTCCGGTGATATCACATCTTTTTTTTACTGATGATTCTATATTTTTTCCTAGAGCTACAGAGAATGAGAGTCGGTAGTTGAGAGGGGTGCTTGAGGACTATTAGAAGTAGTCCGGCCAGCTGGTTAGTTTGGAGAAATCCGAGGTGACTTTTGGATCAAATATAAAGTAGCACCAAAGACTAATAGTGAGCTCCAACCTTGGGATGAAGGTGGTGGAGAAACACGCTAAATATTTGGGTCTTCCGACAGAGGTAGGCAGGTCTAAAAAAGAGTTCTTCATTTATCTTAAAGATCGAGTTTGGAAAAAGTTGGCGGGGTGGAAAGAGAAGTCGATGTCAGCTGTTGCGCCGAACTATTGATAAAATCGGTGGCACAATCACAGCTGACCTACACTATGTCGGTATTTGAGGTTCCTGAAGGAATACTGGATGAGATACATGGTCTAATTACTCGCTTTTGGTGGGGGCATAAGGGTGAAGAGCTCAGGACTCCATGGGTGGCTCGAGAGGCGCTGATATGTACAAACGAGCAGGGGGTATTGGTTTCTGGGATCTATGAGGTTTCAATCTAGCGTTACTCGCACGACAACTGTGGCACCTATATCAGAGACCAAGGTCCCTAGTAGCTTGGATTATGAAGGCAAAGTATCATAAAAACGACACTATCATGGAGGCTCGTGTTGGTTACCGACCTAACTATGTGTGGCTTAGTCTGATGAGAGCTCAAGAGTTCCTGGTTGAAGTATTGAGATGGAGAATCGGTTATGGGGCATCTGTTCGTTTTTGGGATGATCGTTGGTTACTGTCAATGCCTTGTAATATTGTTCAGTCACCACTGATCGGTATCCCGGTGGATTCAATGGTACGAGACCTGATTGACGAAGAGGAAGAGAAATGGGACGAGACGCTTTTGGAGAGCTGTTTCCCATCTGATATGGTACAAGCTATTAAACAAGTCCTGCTACGTCACCCGGGAGAACAAGGGAGGGCTAGAGGACGTGGTTGAGGAAGTTTCAGGACCAGCATGCTAATCAGAGTGTAGGTGATCCGACTCTTTGGAAAAAACTGTGGTCACTTAAGCTACCGTTAAAAGTGAAGGTGTTCATGTGGAAATTTACACGCGGAGCTTTGGCTACGGGGGAGAAGGTGCATAGCCAAAACCCAAGGCTGAGTGGTGTGCCTTATTGAGACCAACTAGAAACACAGCAGCATGCCTTCTACCAATGCCAATGGGTGAGTAGGTTGTGGCGGAAGTAGGAGGTAGCTCACTATTTTGAGCTTAAATCAGGTGCTAGTTGTATGGACTGGGTTCGGTAGGTGATTTCTTCGGTGCTGGAAAATGAGCTCGAGGAGTGGGTGGTATTGTTGTGGTCTTTATGGAGAGAATGATACGCTCACTTGTTGAACAGGAAGAAGATGGCTGAAGCGGATATAGTGCCAAGAGCACAATCCTACCTTAAGGAGTATTGACACCAAAAGCAACACCCGGATCATCCCCCAGCTTCGCCGATAAGCCATGCTTGGTCGAGACCTCCGCTTGGGGGGTGAATTTGAATTCAGATGCGGCTATGGACAAAGAAGGTGTAGGGCTGGGGTGGTAGCTCGGAATCATAATGGATATTTTATACTGGCAATGGTGAAGAGATTAAAAGGAATCAATGACCCAACTCTGGGTTAGGAGTTGGCGATAGAGTTTGGTTTCCAACTGGCTCTACAGCACCAGCTAATGATGCCTCTTGTGGAAACAGATTGCCTAATAGTGGTGAACAAGCTGGCGGTGGAGGAATAAATCCAAAACAGAGATAGGGGTCGTGCTCAGGAACATACGGAAGCTGGCGACAACGACAGGTGATGGACGCGTACAATATGCTAGCAGAGATGCTAATGAGGTAGCACACATAATGGCTTATACGAGGGCGAGATGAGATATAGCGGATGTCTGGTTTGATAGGCTACCGTTGAATCTGTTAGATCAGCTTCTTAAAGATAATGTAACATCATTTTACTCTCAATAAAGCCAAATCGCAGGTTCCGATAAAAAAAGTAATAATAATAAATCATTATCCATGACACAGTCATTTGGGGGACCAACTGTAGTTCCCAAACATACGAGTCTAATGAAAAATCTAAAGTTCTGCTAACATAGTAGTAGTGTTTGTGGGCTTTGATGACAATGTTCACAATTGAAGGAAAAGGCAATTGTTGATTTGGCCATTTTGAATCGTATAGGGCCAAAGTACTTTTGAGCTTTTTATTTGTTTATGTTGTTTGCTTGAATTCGCAATGATGTGGTGCAGTAGCTTCTCGTTGATATTTGGAGTGTGCATTTCTAGTCCTGGTCATGTGTTGAAAACCTTCAGCAGAGGGGAAGGTGTTCCTCGACATTGCTTTTTTTTACTGTAGTTTGAGGGACCTTTACGGTTGTGTTTATCTTGTGGGTTTGTTAGACCTGCAAATATGTCATTAGTCAATAGTGTTCTAGAGTTCATGTGGTAACCTAAAATGAAGACTCTCTTGTATTTATAACAAATTTGTTTAGAGGTATTTGTTATTGCTTTGTCGCTACAGATGTAAGTTGGCTTTCACCTATTCATTTTTCATAAGTTATATCCCTATTATCCTCAACAATTAAAATAAAGAGTGTTATTCCTCACAAAACACAAATATAATAATTAAGTTGTTATTTGATAGTATCTTGCATTCCCAATGTGTATCAAGTTTGCAATGTTATCATAGATATAATTTTCATGGATAGTAAAATTCTGAAATCGGCAAGAATCGAATTAGAACATGAATGAGTTTTGGTATATTAGTTTACTATATTACAAAACATGCATGATACATGTGGAATGTGATGACTATTATTCCTCACATGACTCGTGCATAAAAGAGGGTTGGAAATGAGTGATAGTTGTAGCTGAAGAATAGTGTATTATATCTGGATATAGATTTACGAAAGGAAAATACATAGCAAGACTAAATAAAAATAGTTGCCTTAATGTTGGGAACCAACTATGAGAATGAAATTCGAGAAAAATATTTTGTAGCAAAATAAGTTTATTCTAGTTACTTTAAAATGGAGGTTCTTTCAATGTCATAGCATTTCACAATATAAAAAGACCTTAGATGGATGAAGATGACTATGATAGATACACCATACATGCTCAAACTCAATCATAATCGAACACTTACAATGAGAACGAGAAACCGCAAAAATGTTTGGGGTTTTGTCTATGGGTTAGTGAGGCACCATCAACCTCTTTCCTTTTATATCCATTTGAGAGTGCAGATGAATATGCCTTCAAAGCAACAGCTAAACCTAGAAACTGAAGTTGGACATTGGTTCATGTAATAAAATAAAAGGAGTTACTTGTTTGGGTTGTCCTCGTGATTTATTTGCATAATTGAGGGATGAACCTGCACATTGACGAAAAGAGCAGTAATTGATGATTGATAGTCATATGATTTTGCATCAATATCACATTAAATAGGAAAAAAGACTGCGATGAATCTTGAATGTGGTGACTGGAGCTTTATAACAATCTTTATGAGCTGTGTATACAGCAGATTGCCAAAGCATAAAGCTAACGTAGGAGAATAAGCTACTATTGAATTGGGATCTCTGCGTGAGATGGAAAAAAGGAATGTGTTGCTTATAGGGTGGATGAGAGATGGTTGTAGCCTGTAAGTGTAGGTAGTAGTTTTCCACATGATCTATCTAGAGTGATGAGCGATTTTCCCCTTTTCGATCATCTGCAATAATCAGGTGATATGGTTCACACAAGGTGATCAAGTTGAGAACATAAATGGTAGATGCAATCTCAATGATTCTGGTGTGGACTAATAAATACAACAGTATGTTTGTAATGGTATGATTGCAAATATGGGGTTACAAAGGAAGTGAAAATAACTATTCTTATTGCAATATGAGGATCAATAAATGGTGAACTAAATTTGAATACAGACTTGAATAATCAATCTTTGTCTACTGAGGTGGTCCATTCACATAATCACTACAGCCTTACAGAGAGCCACATTTTCATTGGAGGTTAATTAATTGAATCACGTTCAATAAGAGAACAAAATGGGGGTGTGGAATTACATACCTGTCAATTGAAGCAGTGGAAGCGACAACCACGACTTCCCCTATCAATGGTCTTGTTGTCAAACGCGAATAGGGAAGCCATGGAGAGAGTAATAATGTTAATGTCGGCAGGATAAAAGATAAGATGAAGAAATTGATCGTTTACCGTGTTGAGTTTTGGTCGCTGGGATAAAATTCCTACCTAGGCAGAATTAGGGGGAAAGAACTGGGGGTGGAAGGCATGCGAGAGGGCGACATCAACGAAATGGATCGAGTGGCTAGCGCAGAACCGGCTAGGAGCGAATGACATGAAGTGAGTAATGGTGAATAAGATGGCGAGAAGGAGATGGAGGCAGTTTGGTATGCCGCCGCGCAAACCAAACTGGAAGGGAATTTGGTGTAAGTTGGCGTTCGGATCGTGTGACCGGAGGGAGCGGTAGACACCATCAGCAAATTGTGAAAATGGGGGCAACAAATGCTTGCGACAGAAGGGGAAGAGGTTCCGCTAGGATTGAGATAGAAGGAAGAGGGATGAAATTAGGAGAGATAAAGTGATGGCGTGGAAGCATGGATGGAAAGAGAATTTGAATCCCTAAACGGCAGTTTGGGAAAATGCTTAAAGATATTTTTAGATTTAGATTTAGGTGTCGTTTGCTTGTGGGATTTAGGTGATGTATTTGACACTGAAAGACAAATCATTACGTATTTGAAATAAAAACATTGTTTGTTGAGGTGTTGAGGTATACAAATCTGTGGGACCCACGAATTTGGATATTTTTTAGCCCCAAATCCGTGGACCCCACGTATTTGTAAATACCACATTTCATTTGGTATTTGGTCATTGAAGGCAAGGATTTGAGACCCATGGTACAAAACTCTTTAATCCATGATCAAAATCAACTAAACAAACAATGTTATCTTTCATATACAAAATAAAACTAATTTATCATAAATCCAAAAGTTTTCAAAACTAAAAATCTTCATTTTCCTATCCAACAATCAAACGAGCCCTTAGATTTAGATTTTAGATTCTTATGAATTAAAGACGACAAAGACTGGACTGTGCCCAGCCCATACGCCAAGATCCAGTCTTTTTGGACACCCTCTGTTTGGATTTGAGCCTAACTTCGAAATAGCAAAGCTTTGTGCTCGGCTTCGCCTTTGCTCTGCGTTCATGGAGGGTTCTGCAGATATGCCTCATTTCGTTCTTCCCTGCTTCCCTGGGCAAGTCCAAGTCCCCCTGTCTTAGTTTTGATTACTATGGACTTTGATTTTGTCCGTTTTTCTGAAGAATTCAAATTGTTACTCTAGTCGTCGGCATAGAAACGTGAACGAATTCAAGAATCTTTGTGATCCCATATGATCAGAGGTAGGTAATGGGTCCTTTGGGTAGAAGGAAAAGAGAACAATTGAATCCACTTGGGCATCTCAAGTACAGCTATTTGGATCTTCTTGGCATTCTAGTTAGAAGTTCCGTAGACGTGGAACTTGGTGTGTTGTTTATGCTTATATGTCTCTTATTAGGGGTTGTTTGGAAGTTGCATATGTTAAATCATTGTATTGTGAAGAATCATTGCAATATATAATACATGTATTGATACAATCGTTGCATTTAACATTACAATGTTTGGTTGTTGAGTTCATAGGTTAATGATTAATTTACATAAAGTAACTTTTTTGTGGAAATATCACATTTACCCTTCATTTAAACATATAACACAAACCTCTTTTTCTCCTTTTACTAAGGATATAAATGGAAATAAAAAGAAGATACAAACCTAAAAGCAACAATCTCAACTTTTAGTTGAGATAGTATAATACCTCATTTTTTTGTGATTGTAGGTGGGACCCACACAAACCAAAGCATGCATTATTTCACACTTTGACAATTCCAAACGTTGTATTGTGAACAATGCATGTATTCTATAAATACAACACTCACAATCGCAACTTCCAAACAACCCCTTAAATCAATGAATGAATACCTAATTCTGCAGACCATGGATGAAAGAACACAGTTCATGAATTTCCCTTTCATATGTGTTCAATTCCATCCTGCAAAGCCGAGAAACGTCAAGAACTCCAGTCCAGTGGACTATATTCAGACAGTGAGAGACCACATAAAGCTACTGCGCAACAATGAAAAAATCCCAAAATACACTAGTAATTAAAAAAATTCCCAAAATACAATAAGTTATAAAAAAAATTTCTCAATCTACATATGTTTCACAATCACCGCTTTTGTCAAAGGCAGTGAACAACATCACCGTTTCGGACTAACGCGGTGAAGAAATCACCGCGTTTTGATGGAACGATGAAAGCTTCACCGCAGCTGAGTAAAACGGTGAAAGTGCAGGGAACCAATCACCACTTTTATATAAAATGGTGAAGCATTCACCGTTTTAAAAAAAACGGTGATAGGTACCCCGCATCTGACGGCCACGGTGATTCGCGTCGAGCAGGGCATTCATCGCGTTTGTCAAAAACGGTGAATAACATGCGCCTGTCCACATCAGTGATCCAGGTCGCGGGGCTTCACCGCTGTCGTTGGATGCAGTGAGGCGCGGATTTTGATTTGCTTTCCAGATCCGACGCCTCACATGCTCCACGTCATCGATACTCGCCATTCATCGTGTTCGAGAAAGGCGGTTTATTCACCGCGTTTGTCGAAGACGGTGATGGCGAGGCATTAATTTTCGGCAGATCCCTCCCCCTATAAATTGAATGAACCCTTCCCCCCTCTTCTAAATCACACCACCACATTACACTATCTCCTGCGTAGTTGCTTGAACTACCACCCAATCGGTAACCTCCTGTATAACCACCTCCTTCATAGTTGCTTGAACTACCACCCCATCCGTACCCTCCTACAAAACCATCATCATAAGAATATTGGTGAGAATGAGTTTCACCGACTACCTCGGTCTCAACATAGACCTCTGCAAGCCGCATCCCATTATCGCCTAGGAACTGTAACATCATCGTAACCGCATCATCATCGTTTATGACAAATTCTTAGTACACAACCCCGCCAGCACTCATGTATGGAATTGGAATCTGGATACCGGTAAGTAATTACCAACTCTCATATGTCCGCTCGTACAATTCAACATAGTGGATTCACCGTCCTCATAATCAATCCCAATGTCAGAGTTTGTCACCCTTCCATTCCACCGAATGTTAAGCTGAAACTTTTTTGAATTTACCCATACCTACAATTTACAATAAGTAACTATTAGCTTAATTCCAATAAAATTAACCAAAACCATATTGTACGACTAATATTACTCTATCTCATAACTAACAACAACATAAATTCCCAACTAACATAACATATTTGCTACGATAAGTAATTCATTGCATAAATATAACTACTAAAAACATCATTATATAACAATACAAAATTAAATCATACCGAAATATAGCTTCTGTGTATTTTGCTCTTTTTTTTTTTTTTGCTGAAATTTGAAGAGGGAGGGGAGTTGCGTTTTTCCAACTAGGAATGGCAATGGGGCAGGTCCGGGGCGGGTTTCTTGGTACCCAGACCCGCCCCGTGGCAGGTCGGGTAATTGATCACGGGTCGCGGGTCGGGGCAGGTCGACCCAATGGGTATGCAATTTATATTAAAAACATTATAAATATTCGTTATTTTTATTATAATACTAAGAAAACAAACATTATTATGACAATTGCAGTTAAATTATTGGAGAAATTGAGGTTTTTACTAATTTACAACTTTCTTATAGCTAAAATATGATGCAATAAAAGGAAAATACTAAGTAATTTGACTAAGATTACATGTAAATTAGACAAGAACGGGTCGAGAATGGGGCGGGTCAGGGCAGGTCGGGTCGATGAGACTACCCATGCCCGCCCCGCCCCGCCTACGGGGCGGGTCGGACCCGCCCCGAAACAGGTCAAACAGGTCGGGTAATACGGGTCAGGTCGAAATTGCAATCCCTATTTCCAACTGCTCGTGGGGGGTATTTATATGAAAATCGGTCAGCATTCACCGCGTTTGTCAACAGCGGTGAAGCCAGTCACCGTCTTGCCTTAAGGCGGTGAACATTAGGTCGTTGCGACCTAACTCTCACCTACCAGGGGTGGGAAACGTGGGCAACTATCACCGCTCTAAACTACAGCACAAAGACGGTGATTGCTTCACAGTTTAAGTAAAACACGGTGAACCTTTCACCGGTTTTGATAAAAACGGTGATTACTTCATCGTTTTCATTAAACGCGGTGACTTATTTACCATGTTTGTCTAACACGGTGATAGCATTCACTTCCTTAGACAAAGACGGTGAATGTGAAACCTGTGTAGATTGGGAAATTTTTTTATAACTTATGTATTTTGAAAATTTTTTTTAATTACAGGTGTATATTGTGATTTTTCCCGCGCAAACAATACCTTTGTCACTGTGACCGATCCCAGCGGAAACACCTTGATCGGAGGGGTGAAAGCTTCATCTGGGATGGTGCCGAAGCTATCTCGTTATGTAGCTGAAGCAACGTCAGAGCATGTTGGAAGGAAGGCCAGAGAGATGGGGTTGTGGTGAAGGTGAATGGGTTTTCTTTGTTCAAGAAGAAGAAGATGCAAGCGATCATGAGCTTCAAAGAGGGGTTCGGGAACTCTATAGACTCTATCGAAGATACTACGCGGAAGCCACATTATAATGGATGCAGGCTCCCGAAGAAGCGCAGAATCTAGGACATCAGTATGGCTAGCAGTTTCATTGTAGGCAGAAAGTGTCATTGCTTGGGCTAGCAGATGTTGCTCGACCATGGCAATTGAATGGTGGGGAAGGGTACATGATGTTGTTACTTGTTAGTCCCTGGATGTAATGTAATAGATCTGCGCTGCCCATTCTTATGCTCTTCTGGGTGGTGATTTCTTCAATGTTCTTAAGCCACATAATGATAGCAATACACGTTTTGTTATATTTTTGGATTTGTGATTTTTGGAGTTTGTAGTTAATATATAGCAAGTATTCAAACAAAAAAATTTATCTGCTTTGAAAATCAAAGTACTAATTCGTAGCTGTACATCTCTAAATTGAAAGCTATCTCAAATCTCAATGCTCACCAAGTGGGAAAATATAAGTTCTTATATAAAAGCTAAAAGCCACACTTCTAAGCTTACTATTTATTAAGCGGTTATTTCGTAAATAAACCCAACTTGAGGGGTATTCTTGATGGAGGACACATGTTATTGTTGAAGGAGTACACATGGCAAGAAGAAGACCATTAGTTCATTAATTAATCTTTTCAATTATATTTCTGTATTTCTCTTTTATTTTATTTTTCTACACTCTTCTATTTTGTTTTATTAATATCTTCAAATACGAGTTACTATTCGTTAAGCGTATTGTAATTCTACGAGACTTTAGTTTCATTAGGTTTATGTTAATTAAACTATAAAACCACAAATAACTTCAACACTTAGGATTACTAATTCATTAAGAGGGATTTTTAATTTTCATAAACTTTAGTGACGTTACACTAAACTCACATATTTGCAAAATTTTCATTTATTTTTCTATTTTCCCTTCATTTGCAAGTACACATATATTTATCTCATTTATCCTTTTTTCCATTTCTTTTAATCACATGTGGCCTATAAAAACCTTTTAGCAATCCTCTTTTTTATTTTTATTTTTATTTTTACTTTATCCTTTGTTTTTGCTATCCTTAAATCGAAATCTTTGTTCGTATTTGACGCATATTCCGACGATGTATATTTCATTTTTTAATTCTTATTTATGACATTTTTCTTAGTTTTTTTACTATTCAACTAAATGTAGACCGATCACGCGTATTCGGGTCATGTGTATATCGGTAAAACATTTTCCAATCTTTGTTAGTTTTCCGTCTATTCAACTAAAGATCGCCTGATCACACGTATTTCAATCACGTGTAGTACTCATTGAAGAAAAAGAGAACCACATTAATGATTTTCAAAATGTGATTGTTATTCCCCAATCGGTACCTATTCATTGGCCAACGAGTCCATCTTTTATTGTTTGCTTCACCTTATTGCAAAATGTGCTTTCTCGATTCTTGTTTAGCTGTTTAATTGTTCCTATTCATCAAATGAGAGTTAGGTCTGCATTTTTTTAGGTTTGTGTTCTTTACAGGTTAGTTTATTCCCTCTTACAATCATATGTAACCTTTCTCATTACTCGCTTTACGTGAAGCGTAGCGAACGGGCATATCTAGTTGTTTATCAAAATAACCGAACTAAGAAATACCTTCTATAAACCTGCAAGTTTGTAACTGTGTAAGAAGTTTAGGTCGCAAAAGTCTCCATTATCGATAGTATGATCAATAAAGCTTTTGCTCAAAAGAAAGACAACACGACCCAAGACCGGTTGCAAAGATCGTGCTATGATTTGTACCTCATGCCACTTTGTTACTGTCGAACCTCATTCAACATGCTAGCAAACACAGAATAGTAGCCACCGGTGTCTCTTCTAGTTCCTGTCCAAAAACAAATATAAGGGGAAGAAGGATACTTCAGCATCAGCATGATAAGAGAATGCCAACACAGAATCCACGCCTCCAAAGATTCTACATTCAATCTTAGTTTGTTTTGTAAACAAAATTTCAGCATACAGAAACTTTGGCTCCCTCTCGTGTCAGCTCCCACCCCACGGCTCAAGCCACATGCAGCCATAACAATCATCTCGAAGCTCTTCTCCCTCGTAATAATACTGTTAAAAAATGGGGAAAAAAAGAATTCAATCTACTCCTTTACTTTTGACTGTGCAAAACGGTCGTGGATAGTTCGATGATGCAACCTAATTTTGCCTTTTTCGTTCTGCAATGTGGCGAATGCAACGCTAGCCTGCTCTTTGCACAAAATTTTCTCTACTCCGATCACTCTACCGAGAAAACTTTCTCAGTCTTTCAGCAGAAGCTGCTGCCCTCTTATTAGTTGGTTCAAGCACCAAGGCATATCGGAAATCTGCAACCAACATTGGAGTATATAAGCCAAGGGAGAAATGATGAACAACATTATGGGGTGGACGATTGGAACATCAGATAGCCAAAACTGACCTTCGATTGCCTCTTTATAATAACCAAGCACCTCTCTTGCTGTGCCTCTTCTCAAATATGCCTTCACGTTCTGCCGAATGAGAAATGAAATGAATCCATCAATGGTTTTGAGGTATCTCAAAGGCCATTCACAGAAAACACCAAGCAACTAAAATTCAACATGATTATGCCAGAATGCAACTAGTTTTTATACGTCATATGTTAGAATGGAACTTGGACTAGGGAACATTAAATCCTATAGACCAAAGTGTTTATAAAACTAGGAGGCCTGCTGATCTAAAATTAATCTGAAAAGCAACTAGAGCATCTATCAGAATTGAAGGAAAACCGGAACTAAGGCCCACAAATAAACTAAAGCCACCACGTGGGAAACTCAATAACCTCAAGCTAAAAGCTCTGTATGCACATGATGCAATAGAAGCCAAGTGCCAATCGATAAACCACTAGAATGGTCAGAGGCTGAGCTAGCTGCGGAGAAAGAATCAGTAACCAATAAGATATTACCTTTTTGTCAAGGTCAATAGCTTTCGAACAATCATCCTCGGCTTGGTGAAAGCTTCACAACAAGAACCTTTATAAGCCCACGAAGAAGTAAAAAATCCACAATGCTCAACAAAAACAATAGCTTCCAAGATCACCCAAGTACCTAGTAAGTTCAAGATAAGCTGCAGCTCTGTTGCTGTAGTACGTTGCATTTCTGTCATTAAGTTTAATGGCTTCTGTATAATAACCAACTGCCTTTTGCCATTGCCTATCTTTGAATGATTGGTTTCCCTAATGGTCAATGAAGCAATAGTTAGCATAAACTTTGCACTGGGAACACACACATATAAGCACTTGAGAAGTTAAATGATCTTTGTATATGGAAAAGGTTTACGAGAAACCTAGTTGACTTATTATTATTAGTTCCTACATGGTAGACTCTGGGTAATGACCAGAAGAGAAATCTATAAATCTTAAAATTCCCTCTGCGCATTTATTAGAAGTGAGACCAGCTGAATGCAATGAGTTGTGCTATCAGTGTAGCAAAATAACCCAATTTAAATAACATGCAAAATATAGGCAGGTGTGCAGGTTTTACTCTTAATATGCCGCCAATAATTACACTAAAAGTTCAAAAGCTTCCAAAGAAGTTATGTCTGGAAACAATGTGTAAAAAATCATCGAATATTATGCAAAGACAGTACCGTGGCAATGAAAATTTTGGATTACAGATGCATAGATGTCAAATTTACAAACACCGAGGGACAATTATGTGCATGTTCTAATACACCCAATTAGCATCTAATTTTAAAAAATAATTACCTTTTCCTTAGCCACCTCTGCAGATATTTCTGGGTTTCCCGCACGACCAGATTGATTTGATGTAGCAAGAACATCGGCTTGCTCTTGTAGAGATGTATACATGCTCAGCAATGTGTCTAGTAGAAAGCGATCTCCCCCCTGTCGGGCTATGAAAGACACTGAAGTAGGACACTTGTCATGGCTCCCCAATGGAATTGTGACCTGGTACATTAAAAGATGCAACCCACTTAAATAGCTATCTAGTGAAAAGAGGAAGAAGAAAATATTATAGATGAGGTAAAACACAATGAATTCAACTGACAATGCATTTGGGTCCCTGCATAAGTAATTGCTCCTAGGTGTCAGCCTGAGGCCCCTTGTAAGTAGGTGTGATATGCAGACAAACATAGCACAGATCTTTTACCTGGCAACAGCCGGAGAGGCTAGCAAGACTTAGCAGGCTAAATGAACGTAGCATGTAGTCCTCTGAGAGCAGCTCTTTTGCATTGAGTTTAGGAGGATGAGCAAATGTTGTTGGGATCACAAGAATTCCATCATCCTGTAATAAGAAAAAAGTTCAAACTAAGCATAAACAAACAAAGTGACAGCAACCAAGTGTACAAACAAAGTGTACAAACAATAAACACAAGAAGAACAGCATATGCATGTTCTGGTCCATGAAAAATTGTGAAATTCGCAAACAATTACCTCACCTTCAACTCATAGGCACCTGCCAAAGGAACCTTTTGGTTTCTGTTGCAAAAGCAGTTTTGATCTAACTTTGAACAACTTCAATAGACCTTTCACTAAAGTTGACTCCCCGAGCAGTTTAAAAAGTAACTTTCTGACACTATTTTGAATATCAGCCAAGAATATGATGATATTTGCAGATGTCAAAGTCATGCTAGTACACAGCATGATGGAATAAGTTTGGAAGTAGATTTACAAGTTAAAATTCACCTTAAGGAGAGTGTTGATGGCTGCACGCATTTCATTTCTAACAGATCTGTATTTTTCAATTTCCGTATCTGAAATCTCTCCTGCATCATTCAAATGAGCAGAGATAAGAGGATCAAGGACAGGCTTTTCCATCTTCAACCACTCCTCGTGAATATCACTGAACTCATACCTGTTAACATGAAAAAACATCACTGCATCTAGATTATACGAAAGATGCAAATCAAGAGGCAGAGAGTACAAATATTGCTCATATGCAACGCCAGAGAAAACAGATAAGGGAAAGAAGAGCAGTGAGAAATGGAAGGAAAGAGAGCGCACTGCAAAGCATGACAGAGGAGAGAGAAAAAGAACGCTGGACGGGCAAGGATCAAACACATATAAAATATTTGATAAGCTCATATGAACCATGAATTTTGTTTCTTATATTTCGAACGCCCTTCAGCACAGACACCAGGTATGCATAACAGACATAAAGGTTTAGAAGAAGCAGAATTAGAGGTCCGGTCTAACAAGAGATGTACATGAAACTTAGTTTGCATTAGAAAATTGGGCCACAACTTTATGCAAAAAATTAGCGGCCTGGGACTCACTTAAGAGGTGGAAATCAACTTGAAGATGGACAGAAGGAAGGAAGAGAAAGAAAAATTTAGATTGGAGTGATGAAATAAATTATTGTAACCAATTACATAGAAACATAAAAAAAAAAAACCCCAATTCTGCAGAACATTTTGCAGATAGACTAAGAAGAAGAGAGGGAGACGGGGTATTTACATTGAATACCCGCCCTTTCACACTCCACAGGCCATCACTTCCTCTAACAGTGCAAACATCAATAACTTTGTATGTCACGGAAATCAGCAAAACCAGAGAAGCATAAAACAGCTGCATCTTCTAGAAACATCAATAGAAAAACCTAGAATACATCACCCCATAAAAAAAACAAAGCATACATACAGCAACAAGATGAGGATTGGACCATGCAGACCTTCATCAATTTATCCATAACAGAACCTTAGTTGCAATGTAAGATAAGATCGCTCACCTATGAAGAGCCTGCATAATATGTGCTAGCATTCCCAGTGAAGAAGTTTTGACTTTAGAATCTGATTTGTTTGTAAGAATCTTTTTCAGGCTTGGAACATTAGAACACAGAAACTCCTCAAGAATTTCATGCTTCAATGCTTGTCCTACAGAAATTTAGCCAGTTCAAATATTAGGACAAGCAAAACAAGCATTTGGCAAAACAGAAAAGAGCAATCAAGTAGAGAAAGTTGAATCTATCAGGTAGAAAGAATCAGCACGTACTTCCAAAGAGCTTCACAGTAGATGTTATCAATGCCTGAGCAAGCTTGTCAAATGGAATCTTGAATAGTTCAAAACAATCATCAGCTATTATAATTTGTCGGGGTTTACGTTGAACTCCAAATGGAAGTTGCAAGAGCACATGGCCGACACGCCTCAAAACATCAGGATCACTGGCAAACAATCCTGCAAGTTCATTCAAGAAAATCATCACCATAAACTCAGTTACTTTGTGGTAATAGCTTATAAAAGGCAGTGTAGTCAACAAGTACAACTGTCACGCACAGTAACAATATTTGTTATGTGGTCAGACCACCACACTACCCACTCACTAGCTTGCGTTGGAAGTAACATACACAAAAGAATACTATACAAAACTAAGTCGCACCTACCTGCATTTGCCAACCTGGAAGAGGACCCAGGTCAAATGCGAGCCAATAGACAATAACATAACTACCAAATACTTGAGCTGAGATGAGAACTATCATGATAAATCATTAAGAAAACTTCGCCAAGTATATTTATTAAAGGGCAAAGTACTCTATGAATCAGAGGTTCTCTGAATACCAGATGCAAGTTGAGGCACTAAACAGAAGCTTCAGACAAACAAAAATGCCAAACCAAGTATTAAACTGGTAAAAGAGGGGCAGGGGAAGGGATGAGGGGGTTACTGATTATCAACCTTAAACCTAGGCATAAAGCATACGATCAATATAAAGTATACATAAATCTTCCAATTTCATATCTGCTTCCAATCCCTCATCCACAGTGAGCCACACTTACATCCAAACAACCTTTAAATAAGCATAAACTCTCAGTTATCAAACCTAAGCATACTAACTACTACTTCTAATATGTCTGTCCTGACCAATGTGGATCCTAAAAGAACATGACTTCTGGTTAAAGGAAAAGTTACAAAATACCAAGCCATATCAGACATGAATGATATTGAATGGAGGAGACTAGTGAAATTATGTCTGCCCATAATTACCATCTAAAGCGAACTTACAACTTAATCGATTTCCATTAAGGATTAAAGCATATTTTTCCAATTATAGTTCTAGCAGGTCTGTTATCTAGGTTGTGGAGTGACAGCAGGATGATTTTGCAAAATATTACATACCTACTGTATCAAGGCTAGGTGAAATGGTGAACATTCCCATGTTTGAAAGAGCTCCATATGACGGCCGGAATCCTATGATCCCACAAAACGCTGCAGGTGCTCTTACACCACCATCTGTATCAACCCCTGTAATAACATTTGTATACAAGCAAAGACATGAATTAGTATATACGACCAGCAGAATTGACTTAGTTCCCCACCTAATTTCACCTTCCTATTGCCAAGACAGTGGACACAAGGAAGCAGCAAGAGAAACCATGACATGTCCAAACGGAAAATAACCCAAGAGGGCTTGATTGACTGAATAAACCATCTAAATATACCTAAACACACAACTCTATTGACCACGAGAATTAGTGTATCATACTTGCACCACACATCCACAAATAAGAATCCAACGACGACAGAAAAATGCAAAATTATAATGAGCGCTCATGGGAAATATGTGGCTTACCCAATGAAAAATCAACAAGCTTAGCTGCTACAGCGACAGCTGCTCCACTTGAAGATCCACCGGGAACACGGTCAGGAGCCGCAGGATTGGTAGGTGTACCATAATGCCTATTTTCTCCATTGATACTGATATCAAGCATTCCAAGAACAAACAGCACCCATAAATAATAAACAAAATCCAATCTCGGGTGAGAACGAACAAAAATCAAGAGTTCAAGTGGCCACTGAAGGAAGATGATAAGAATTTTGAAGTTCAACATGAATACATTCCCTTAGACTAGGGCTGCACCAACAATAATGATACTTAATTGGGCACAGACCAGCTGGACATACCTATAAGCCAGTTCATCAACAACAGTTTTTCCTACACAAGTGGCACCACCGTCAACAAGAGTTGAAACCACGACTGCCGTCTTAGAGGCCACGCCATGTGTACTTGCCCAATCAGGATGTCCACAACCAGAGACAAATCCTTCAATGTCAAATCTGATAATTATAGTTAAAGAGCTTTAGAGGTCCAAAATGAAATAATAAAAAAGGAGAGACGGACTACAAAACTAAGAAAAAAATCGAGTAATTCAGAGGTTCATATCTCATACAATTTCAATGAACTACCATTCTACCAATACTCTATCCACCATGCGGCCACCAAAGGAACAACCAATCTCACAATTGGAAAGAACCAACTAAAGCATTAACAAGTTACTATAACAGAAGCAGCAATATACACTGTGAATGTTCATATTCCTTGCAATCCAACCTAGCCTACTTCCGTAGCACGGAATGCAGGATTGAAAACAAGCCGAACAAAATTCCTTTCAAATTCCTCCAACATTACGAGCTGCCAAACCTCTCCAGAATAAGTTGAAAACCTCTTCGTTCAGCTTCTCTTTCTCCGAGAATCACAATTCCGGTGCAAACAATTAAACAGAATGGAACAGGGAAAGTAGTGAAGAACAGTCAGAATTACACGTCGGAAACGGCAAAGGTGAGGTCGGTGAGCGGATGGCGAGCTTTAGGGGGAGCAGGTTGAGGCGGGGGAAGGAGTTGAAGCTTCTGGACAAAGGCACCGAAGTCTTCCCGTACAGCTCTCTTCAACTTTCTGGTAAGTAACAGAATCCCGGCCAGACCGAGACCAAGTAGAACCAAGATATTGGCCCGTGTAGATGGAGCAGTAGATGACGACGAAGAAGTGGAAACCATTGTTGTTAAGCCCATGGGAACAGAACCAAAAACAAGAAAATTATAATAAACCCTAGAATCAGAGAAGGATGGGGTTTTAGGGTGGCGGAGAAGGAGCAGCAAGAGGGGCGGCTAGGATAGACTTCGGAGCGACTCCTTGTTTCCAAGACGCAGCCTCGAGCAGCGAAACCTTTTCAGGTTCAGCAGCATTTCCCCTCCCTCATCTTCTTGGGCACGGGCGGGTATTTCTTTCTAGACAGTGGGAACCGATGGGGTCTTTCACTCTTTCTGGCTTCTTGAGCTAAATAGTAGAAACGGCCACAACACTTCTATCCCAGTCTCTGTTTAGTCACTTTTTAAACTGAATGGCTATTAGAGGTGGAAATTGGGGTGGGTGTGGTTACCCGTCATTTATTTTGCGGGTACACACTAACAGATTAATAATTATGTTACACATAATTGCACCGTAGTGGGTAACCACTACCCATTATGGGTTGGTGCGGGTTGGGTGTGGTTACCCCAAAAATCCATCTTTGCAAGCATGGAGTTGAGGCAGCCACTAACGTATTTGTTGTTCGTAACTAGACTATAGAGATATACAATTTTGTTGTTCGTGAAGATACAATTTTATATATAGATCTTACTTAACGTGAAGATTTTTTCTTTTCGAGTTTGGTATTCAACTTTTGTGTCAAGGAGCTGTGACATATTTCACTAACTAGTAACTAGGTAGGGGTGGGCAACGGGACAGAACGGGATACTCGTCTAGTTTGAAACAGGCATCCAATCCCATTTGGAGAGAAATCTTCATCCTATATCCCAATTTCATACGAGTTAACGGGTACCCATTACCCGTGCGGGATGAATAACGGGTACCCATACTGCCCGTAAATACCCGTTCAAGTCACCTTCACATAAGCCCAAATCATTGATTCATTAGATTGAAAAACCTCCTACCTTCACAACACGCGTGCACCTCCAAAAAAAAAGAATCGATCAACCACCTCAAACCCCTAGACAAGTAAGATTCAATTCTTTGAATATGTTGCACTAATAAAGACAAGTCATTCTGTAAAAAAGCCAGTGTTATTAAGACCGGACCGAGCCGGTTGGTCGGACCGCTAAAGCCACCACCCGATCACAAAAACGATTCGGGCCAGTCATTCAACCGCTACGGTTTTATGGAGAGGCCGGGGAGCGGCCGAGGCGGTTAACCACTCGAGTCGCTCGAACCGGTTGCTCGATTTTTCCCTTCCGACCGTTCTATTTAATAAAAAAAATTAAAAAAGAAAATTGAAAACCAAAGGAAAAATCGTGGGGATGGGAAAGAAACCCTAACTCTAATTCAGTTTTTGTCTTCGACTCTTCGTGAACAGAGGAAGAAGAGCAGCGCCAGACCCTGCCGCTGTCAACACTTCCCATCCTGGGTTCCCGTCGGCATCGTCGCCATCCCTAGTCAATGTAGCAGCTCCCAGCTCGCCATCACCAGTATACGTCCTCGTCCCCTCTTCCAGTAGCAACTCCTCCACTCTGTCGTCACTTCCCGTCCCGGCGCTTCCCGTCGCCATCCCCAATCCTTGTAGCCGCTCCCGGCTCTCCACTCTCATGTTTTGGAATTGTTAAGATTTAAGAGTGTAATTTACAAATTTAATCATGGTTTATCATGATTAAGAGGTGTCCACTATTTACACTGATTGTTTATTAGGTACCGGTTTTCTAACGATTTTTAAACGGTTTAATGTCGGTTGGATCGCTAAAGACCGAGTCGTTCATATTATTGGGTTATACTCCTGTTCGCTTTTGACAACATTGAAAAAAGCACTTCACTAGTTTCACAACTGCTTTCTCAGTAACCTCAAATCAGGAATTCCACCAAGCTAAGACTAGCACACTGAAGCTTAATTACTTGGAGATTAAGTTTAGTAGAGTACTTACGGTGGGTTGTGATCAGTCAATTTGGCGGTAGAAAGCTCCAAGCTCTTAGAGTAAATAGGTTTAGGGATTTTAGATTAATGGGTATAACGGGTACCCGTAATACCCAAACGAGTATTAACGGATAACCCGCGGGTACCCAAAGTAGCTATTCTTGATCCCAAGTCCCATCCCGTAAAAAAAAATTACGTGTATTTGAGTACCCGTAACCCTCAAAAAACGGGATGAGTATGGGTATACCCAAATACCCGTTTCCCGTTGCCCACCCCTATAACTAGAGGTAAAATATGACAATTAAATATGATCTTGTTATTTCTTTCACATAAAAGCAAAAACATACAGATAAAAATTACTAAATGTGTCCACCTGACACTCCAAAACACAACACCTAACAATGGCCAAGTGTAACCAATGAGAGGGACTGCAGTATAGTGGCACAAGTAATAAATATCGAATCCACGGGTCTCTAGAGTTACTATTACTCAGCTTCAGTTAATTATCTAGCAAACTAGATTAAGGATTGATTTATAAACTACTCTACTGACTACTCCACTAATTACAAGTTGGGAACTCACTTAGGTATGATTCTCCCTAGCTCCTCAATTAGGTCCAAGTTGCAATTATTTTTGGTTGGTCTACTGTTGATTAAACTGAGAAAGATCCTAAATTAGCTTGGAATCTCTTAAGCTGACCAAGCCCTCTTAGACAGAATACCCGGCAGGCGACTACCCTTCACCGAGGTTGACTGCTAAGGCGATTCACACAGATCTCCACTACTGGAATGAATTCCAGTACAAAGTAGTGAATTGATTGACTCTCGCACAACCAATTCACCACTATCAATCAAGGAAGCTCTCTTAACCTAATCAGATTCTATCTATCATAGGTTAAAGCAGAAATCAAGAGAAGATGATCAGGCTTCAATTGACTCTATAAATCATGACTCAATCGATTATAATCAAACAATATAGCATCCAAAACTTCATACAAGAAAGATCCTAACACATGGAACTAGGGTTCCTCAAAACCTAAGTGAAGGGAAGTTACTCCATAGAGAAGAGAGAGACTGCAGAAATCTGATCTAGATCTTCAATCTCCATCTCCAAGCTTGATTCCCTAGCTCCAATGGCGAAAAAATCTTCCAAAATAGCTCCAAGAATGTTCCCAAGTCGCTCTCTCTCTCTAGGGTTCGTCCCTTGGGTGTTTGGGAACCAAAACCCCGCTCTCCCCTTTCCTTTTGCTGAAAATCGGGTTTTAACCAGAAATTCGCGATCACACGGCCGTGTGACTTTCCCAGATGCCCGTGTGAGGGCTCGGTGATTTCCACATGGCTACATGGCCAGGTCACACGGTCGTGTGGGTTTTTAGGCGTGCCCGTGTGGCTTGCTCAGCCTCTGTTTAATGCTTTGTTTCTCCCTCGTCCGGACTCCGAATCAGTCGCCGTTTGATCCCATACGCTCGTAGTCTCGTCCTCTTTATTTTCATGACAAATTTACATTATTATTTGTCCATAATATGAGGTAGAAGTCCATTATTCCTCAGGTCATGCTCGTGTTTCTTCTCCCGAATTGCCGAATGATCTCCGATTGATTTCAAACTTGCGCCTATGCTTCAATTTACATGCTAGGACCTGAAATGTGACAAAGGAACACAACCTAGCATAAAATAGATCAAAGAAGCGATTATGCAAGCTTAAACGATCAAGAAACAAAGGGGAAAACATGTGCAAATATCGAGTCATCAAATCCCCCAACACTTAACCGTTTGCTTGTCCCCAAGAAAACCTAACTCAAACCAATGCAGCTCTCCAGACCTCTATAGCAACAAACAACCCCGATCGTCGGTAGAGGATTTTCTAGATCATATATCAGCTTACGAGGTCAACTGGTTTTCTAAGACGTTCCCTATCTCTCTCAATGCGAGTACTAGACTCAAGCCAGGATCATGAGAAGAAGTGGAAGTAAGACAGCCAGTTCATGGATAAAGGGACTCACACCATTCACAACCAAGGACTCATTGTACCGGGTGCTCTTTCACTTCATTTCACCGTTGGAACCCCTTTTTGCACATTCATTTACATTTCTTTTTCTCTTTTTTTTCTTCATTCACTTGGCGAGGGTTCCAACTGCAATCTTTTGCACGGTCGACCCTTATTAGTCGAGCAAGAGCAGTTTTTGTACACCTGGCGCTCGCCAGGGTACTTCTTTTAACTCCTTTTCCTCAACTCGTGTGGAGGCTCAATGAAATTAAGGGGGGCCGGAAGCTCTATCCGTGCCCTTAAAAACACATCCTCAAGTAGGCAAACCGTTCAACGGGTGGAAGTTTTACTTGTACTAGAGACGGCTTAGCTTCACCTTGTAGGAGTACCCCACTAAGGATCACTAAAATCTCTTCCAAAACCCGATTTTGTGCAATGGTGCCGCACACGTTGGGCTTACCTCATGTTTAAGATTTTTGATGATTTCGACATGGAGGACCAACTGCTTTTCATTTTTCACATGAGCACCCTGTTCGATACACGAGTCCATAACACAATTCAAACAGAGTCCACATTACCACATGAATTCAACGGTCTTAGCTCCACTAATTCACGAAATCAATTGGCATAGCAGAGAGCTAGATAGGAAAAATCTTATACTTCAACATCCTCCATAGTGCTACACTACCTCCCAAGGTTGCACATTACTATAGAGACTATCAATTCAAAGCATACTGAGCAGGCAATTTGCAAGGAAACACGTATTTGGAGCCCTCAAATTTAAAAATTTGGACAGTGGACTAGGCTCCAAGCACACAAACAGATCTAATGCAGTCAAAAGAGAAACATCCCCCCACACTTAAGATCGACATTTCCCTCAATGGAGAAGAGGGAAGGATAAGGGGAGCGATGTAACCGGTCTGCATGGACTACATGAGACTGGAAGCGGACCAGTCGGAGTGAAGAGGACTGGAAGCGGACCAGTCTAGGACAAAGCACATCTAAAGGGAACATAAGAACTCCAACATAATATGTTAGGTCCAATGGCCAACCCAATAATACATCATCCAAAACAAAAGAAAACAAACAAAAACCAAACCAGTTTGCAATCCGACCCAAAACGAAAGAAATAACCGAAAACCATGGTGAGGTTGCCTCCCCACAAGCGCTTCTTTACCGTCTTTTAGCTGGACGCCCATGGTGGATACTCAGCGGGGTGCAGGACCAGGTGCCTCCAAGAGCGGATCCACATCGCTCTTGAGGTACAGCTTCAAATTGCGGCCATGCACCAGACAGGTGCGACCACCAGCATTGGTCAGCTCGACCTGGCCATCCGGCAAGATGCAGGCAAGTGAGTACTCGGATGGCCAGGGTGGTCGTGGTGCAGGAGGTGGAACCAGCTCATAGTGGTCTCCACCTTTCTTCCGTGCAGGCTTAGCCACCTGCTGCTTCGGCCGCCACTCCTCTTTGATCCTTTTGTTTGGCGGTGAGGTTGAAGGGAGTGGCGGCGCAGGCGTGAGAGGGGGATCATGCAAAACGAGATGCACAGGGGGGTACACGACAAGCTCGTGTACTTGGTGAGAAATAGCATGCATAGGTGTGACAGCAGGCATATCACAATGATCAAGGTCAGCCACAAAAAAAGTAGCATGTTCATTCCCAGCGCGCAAGATCAGTTTACCACTATGCACATCAATAAGTCCCTTGGCGGTGGAAAGAAATGGTCTACCCAGAATCAAAGGCACATCCACATCCTCATTTATATCCAGAACAACAAAATCAACAGGATACGTGAATGCGCTTACTTTAACAAGCAAATCCTCTATGATACCCCTAGGATGCACAATAGAGCAATTAACTAACTAAATGCTCATCCTAGCAGGGCTAAGTTCACCTAGGTCTAGCTTTTTAAACAGATTGTATGGAATGACATTTATGCTAGCGCCTAGGTCCTCCAAGGACTTCCCTACATGCATGCTGCCAATATTAAGAGGAATAGTGAAACTCCCTGGGTCTTTGCGCTTTTCAGGCAGCTTGTTCTGCAAGATGGCAGAACACTCCTCGCTCAGCATCACTGTCGAAAGATCCCCAAGTTTCTTCTTGTTGCTGAGGAGATCCTTCATGAACTTTGCGTACTTGGGCATCTTCGACAGTGCCTCCATGAAAGGTATGCTGACGTTGAGCTGCTTCAACATTGCCATGAACTTGGCAAAATCAGTCTCCAGCTTATCTTTGTGTAGTCGAGTGGGGAAGGGAAGCTGGGGCACATGCTCCTTAACAACTGGTTGTGGCTTGGGAGCAGGGGCTTCCTTCTCCACCCTCACTTCTACATCATCGGCTGGAAGTGCTGAAGCAGGTAGTGGCACTTCCTCCCTAGCCTGGGCAGGTACCGCCGATGTGGACTTGCCACTCCTAGTATTGATGGCATTCAGCTGCTGGTGCAGCTCCCGTGGATTGGTGATGGTTGTGGCAGGTAGAGTTCCTGGGGCGCGGGTATTAATTTCGCGAGCTATGTCACCAACCTGGTTCTGTAAATCCTGCAAAATGGCACCCTAGTTCCTCTAGCCTGCCTCTAGTGAGGCTATGTTCTGGTCCATCCTCGTGAAATTCGCCTGGCTGGTAGTCATGAATGCCGCTAGAATGTTTTTCAGCTCTGTT